GGTAATACTGAATATATTTTTATCATTTGATAGCATTTAAAAAATTGATTCGTAAGTACGAACATGCAATATTCAAGTTGGTATTGTCACTAAAGTAAAATAAAACTTAAAAATTTAGTTTGATAAAACTTAAAAATTGATGAATGCATTTAATTTATTGTAGCTTTTTGATTAACTTTATTTGTATTCAGAACAGGTTCAAATTTTATAATGCTTCTTCAATTAATACATTTAAAAAAAGTTTCTGAATCTGTTAAGATTTAAATAAACTAAAAGTGTAAATCTATGATAATCTTCTATAGAGGAGATATTTGATTATTTACATTGAATAGGCTCCGATACTACCTATTTTAAAAATTCTAACAACTACAGACTATACAGGGCGTCCCACGACTATGCCACATGAAGGGAAAGTACCTTGAATATTGTAGTTGGAACATTTTACTGAAAGAAGACATTATTTTGATTTAAAAAAACAATTTAAACTGCATTCATAGATTTTAAAATAATTACATGATTGAACCACGAATATATATTTTATGCCAAATAACATAGTGTCAGAAATATAAGCGGGACTACGAATTTTAACATAAAAATAATAAATTTACCAAATGCTCCAAATGAGTCCCATTCTGTTGTATACAAAGTCCCACTCTTTTGATTAATTCACGCCCTGTCTATTTTTTGATCTTGTTGTGGTGGATATTTAGAATAATACGTCTAGGCGTCTAAGTTTTGTTTATAGTTCATGGACACTTTCATACTGGTTCTTGTAAACTAAATTTTTTACATAACCCCATAAAAAAATCTAACGGGTTTAGAATTATTTCTTTATAGTTAGCCAACTGCATTGATATGGACAAAATAATTTACGCGTCTTTCAGCTCAGGGTATGGCTCAATTTGTTGCAATAATTTTGTATTAAAAATGTTAAAATTCGTTTTATTCCTGACACTATGTTTTTTATCATAAAATAATCCTTATATGAAGCCTTTCGATAGGCATGATAAAGCTACATGGTATTTTTTTCTCGTGTAACGGGTTCGATTCCCGGTTCAATCATGTAATTATTTAAAGACGCCCTGTATATAACGCGCGTCAAGTCGCGAGAACAGCTAGTTGTAATAAATGCTAATATTGCGGTAGTCTCTAATCAAAAACACCAACACCAACGCTTGATAGCTAGGCTATCGAAGATAATTAATAAAACTATAGTCTGTAATTTGGTCTGTGACACCACCAGCCCTTTTACGTCCCCACTGCAGGGGCTCAGGCCTTCCTTATGGATGGTTAAGGAGGATGGGCCATGACCCTCCACGCTGGCCCAATGCGGATTGGAGGGTATTGACGACTGCAAATGCAGCCGGGACCAACGGCTTAACGTGCCTTCCGAAGCACGGAGTAGCTCGAGATAATAATTTTTTGGTCACCCATCCCGTGACCGACCCTTGCGAAAGTTGCTTAACGACTACGATCGCGGGCCGCGGCGCTTATCCACTACGCCACCGAGCTACTACTTAGTCTGTGACGTCAGTCGTTTATTAGTTACATATGGGTTTTTAAGCTTTCTTGTAAGAAAGGGGGTTTCCCTTTCCTATCATTATTTATTCTACAATTACTATATTGAATTATCATGATTGAGGCTATATATATTTCTGTGAAAATATATGGCAATAGTTCAAAAGATACGGTCTTGTAGTCTCGACAGAGGTACGGATGTGTCGTCATCGTATAAGATATATGTTTGTAGGTGTCAGTTGTTTAAGTATTTTTTATAAAGCGACTTTGTTCATTTGTATGCTATACGAATAAATAAAGTTACCAATTATACTCCTTCGAAACGAAGTGAACGAATTTGATGAACTTTCTTATGTATATTCATTAGGTCGGGGAATAGGTTGTTATCTAATTTTATACCCTTATGTGACAAGGATGGTCCACAAGCTAATTCAAAAAATTTGTAATTTCGTTGAAGTTTTGCGGTTTTGTTTTTCATTTATTGTTTACGTTACGTTAGATAAATTTATAACTTAACTATTTCATAAATTAACTGGTTTTTGTAGGCAGGTGTGTACTAGTAATTGACTGATAAATGTTAACAGAATTATTTCATTGATGACTTCGTTTAATTATTCATGATAACTAATTAAATAAACTCTGGTGTCAATGGATAGGGCTCCTTATCTTTTTAATAGGTTCTATTCATTAATTTGCGTTCTTCTACAAGTACGTAACTGTTTTAAAGGTAGACGAGGTGTGACACCATCAATATACACCGTGGCTAGTTTTTTATTTTTTTAACAAGATACGCGGTTGCAGCCGCTCTTAAATCTTAATTTATCCTCAATCATAATAATCACATATGCAACAATTCTTCCCCTAAATATTTAAATAACAATTAAATCTTTAAACTTGTAATTAACTTCGTCAACGTAAAAAGGTCAGCCTTTAGACATATTATAAACGTTGTCAGAAACCACATTAAGCTGACGTTTAGATCATACATAGAAATTGTCAGTAGCAGATTACGTTAACGTATAGATCTAACATAGACATTTCAGTAATCACATTACGCTCACGTTTAGAGCTAACCAGCTAACATAGAAATTGTCAGCATCATAGTTATTACGTTGACGTTTAGACCAAACATGGACATAGTCAAAAATCACATTACGCTGACATTTAGACCGAACATTGTCTATGTTATATTGTTAGTAATCACATAGAGATACTAAAAAAATCAGCTGTCACTTCAGTTTACATTAACATTTTCTTATTGATATTACGTAAAAGGAGTTATTTGTAGTGAGACATCAGTAAAGTGTGGCAATCCCTATAGTTTTATTACAGAAAAACATTTCATTATTTACGCAATTAAAACATTATCTAACAAACTTTGTTTTATACGTTGGTTGTATGTACCAACTCATTGATATACGCAGTTGAATAAAATGAAGATAATGTACAATCGACTGCACATCAGACTTTACAAAACTGTTAAATTTACCAAATCGATTTTAAACCTAATTACATATTGTGGTAATCTGACCTGCAGCTGTGTGTGCATATACTCGTGTGCAATATACATGAGCTATCCAATATAAGAAAAATATTCAGAAAATCATATATATCAATAATCAATCAGAATCAGATTAATCACACTTTTAATCGTTCTGTCTCCACTTTGTTTATTCCATTTATAAGTAAGAATAGAACTATTATTTTGCGAATATTGGAATAATGCTACAAATAATACTCTAACGGCCGGTTTCTGAATTGAGATTAGTACAAATTCTCAACTGATTATTCTCCATAACTTAAGTTTTTTACGTTTCACAAGGCAAAAAGTCCTAGTTTTATCCAATTGCTAACAACTGTTAATAAAAAAAAAATCTATAACCTAACAAAAACGAAAACCTAAGTGACGTATAAGTACAGTTTGAGACGTTAAATTCTTAATTCAGAAACCGGGTGTCAATTTGACTAATTACGAATAGACACGCAGTACATGAAATAAGTAGTCGACACTGGTATTCATAAAAAATAAAAATTATTTTATTAAACTGACAGAGTAACAACTAATTAATAAATAATCTATTTACCTTATCCATTAATATTTATATAATAACAAATGTTTACATCTTAATATTTATTGAGAGCAGCTACTGCTACCGAGACGAAGGAAATTGGTGTGGGTTAGTCACCCTAACAGATGCGCTTAAAAATAAATAATTTAAAGAAAAACAAAAAACCCGACTGCGTAAAATCGAATAAAAAAAAATGAACAAATTAACTATACCTTTTGTTTTTTTAAATTCGTTTTTACGCAGTCGAGTGTTTTGTTTTTCTTTAAATTATTTATTTTTATTTTATACTTTTTAATTACAATTCGTTGACTTCGTTATAAGATGGTAAATTTCGCAATCTAGTCATTTCATTGAGGGAGTTAATATTATTTGTTAAACGACTTTAAATGGTTTTATTATCCTAAGCTATTGTTTAAAATGAAAAATGATAAAAGAACCTAAAGATGATTTAAAAATACCTATTCAACGACACCCCACCTGACATAGTTCATGGATTTTTTTTTATTTTGACAATATATAGCGTCTGGTTATCGGTGTGGTGAATTTTGATTACTGTCATGTCTTTAGTGACACTCGCAAGGTTAAGACGAATCGATTGACGTAAGAATCATCAAAATCGGCCTACGCATTTGGTCTCTAGAACGCCACATAGAACGTACATACATACATACATAGACTGATGAACACATTACCCTCCCTTGCGTCGCGCAGTCGGGTAAAAACGGGGTTGTCGTATTATAATATACGCCGTCTCTTTTATTTCACAGAAGTGTATGAATCAATCGTTTAAGTAGACTATTAAGTAATACAGTAATATAAATACAAGATATGTAAAAGTTCAAAGGTTAAAAAATCATTAAAAATAGAACGACGCTTGTTTTCCGTCAGTACCTTATCAAATAGAGCAAAAAAAATAAGTTTAAATTACAAGCAGAATAGTATTACACTTGACGTAGTACGTAGTGTAAAACAAAGTTACCGCTGTTGTACGTTGAGGTCTTTTAAACTACACTATAGATTTTAAATGCGGTTTTCATCAATAAACAGAGTGATTTAAGAGGAAATTTTTAAGCTTTATATTGGAGCGGGAAGCTTATATATACCAAAATAACTTTATACATCAGATTACTAATTTAAAATGTCACTTTCATTGAAATTGTCAATGTATACTACAATACACGAGTTGATTAAATGTTAAAGGTCAAATATACAAAACAATGATAATAATATAATAGGCAAACAATTGTAGATAATCTTTGATTATGTAATTATCTTTGTACATAAAACTATTTTTCATATGTTATTATTTTAATATTAATTTAAGGCAGACTCGTGTAATTTCCAGTAGCCCTCACGAGGAACGATTCCCTTGTTTTCCATAATCAATTTATTTATTTTCTATTCCATAAATAATTTAATATTGATATTTCAGTACATATGGAAGAATTGCCGCAACCGATACAGTATTACCCCATATATCTAATGAAATAGATAAAGATGTAGTAGTCACAGAATCTGTAGTAGCAGTGACAGACACTGTGACAAACAGTAATGATGAAGTCACTACTTTATCATCTAAAGTCACAAACAACGCAACAAAGGAGCCAGATACTACCATTCTACCTCAGAAGAAAAATGACAGATGTTTAAATAGTACAGCAGATATAATAGATAATTTTATTGAAACAGAAGACTTACTCCCACTGTGTGAGCATAAAATTGAAAATGACAATAAAATACTGAAATTAACAGATTACATAGAAGAAGGTAAAATAGAGGAAGGACGAAAAGCGTCTGAAGTGAATCCAGACTTATTTTTGGGTGTCAAAAGTTATTCGGGATTTTTTACAGTCAATAAGACGTATGATTCAAACACTTTCTTCTGGTATTTCCCGGTAGAACATAAAGTGAACGAAACACCATGGATAATATGGTTGCAAGGAGGTCCTGGTGCTTCCAGTTTATCTGGATTGTTTGATGAGATCGGACCTTTCAAGCTAACCCATAAGAAGATATTAGTACGTAAGTGATCTTTTTAACAGAAAATAACGTGAATCTCATTTGTTTTACTTGTCACGGCTTTCTGAACACTCGTTCTTCTAAATTTTTCTAAATGTTTATAAATCCTTCTAAAATTTTTTTTTGTTACTACACAGGTAATCCATATACATGGTTACGAAACCATTCGCTGGTGTTTATAGACAACCCTGTGGGTACAGGCTGCAGCTTTACAAGGCACGAAAACGGATACGCCACTAATATGGCCACAGTAAGCTACAGTCATGTTTAGCGTATGTCGAATTTAATGTTAATGTATTAGTCTTTTCATATACATTTATCATTCATATACATAAAACCAGATAACTTTAAAAAGCCATTTTCGATTTATCGTGAACTTCACCGTACCTAGATATATTAGACCACATACAACGAAGAGATAGTTGACGATATACGAGTATTTCGATTTGGGAATATGAATGGAGCGTTTCTTGGCAAAAAGAGCGGGAAAATTTCTTGGCAAAAACGCAGCTCGCTAAACAAAATGCGGTGCTGATCCCTACGATGTTTGATAGTAATGTATGGTAGCGCGAGTTGGATATGTTAGAAAGAACATGTCAGTAGATTGAACGCAGTCGAGATACGTTTGTTACGTAGTAACGCTCGCAGACCGCATTCGGTATGAAAAAATAAGAATGAGAGTTGACTTGAAAGATAGCGTCGGTGTAAAAATCAACAGAAACATGCTCCGTGGGTTCGGACATGTAGCAAAAACGCCGAATGAAAGAAAGACAAAACTGATATACGACGCGAAAGTGGAAGGATGCAGAAGCCAAGTAGGCCACGACATATCTTTCACGATCAAATCAATCATCTGCTTTTAGAAGGTGATGTCAGAAGCCATAAAAAACCTTCGAGTATCTATGAAAGAGTAATGAAACCTGATGAGGCGAAAGATGTATGTAAGGACCGTACATTGTGGCATTCGGTCCTCTCTGCCTAACCTGTCAGGGATACGGCGTGAAGATATAGATAGATAGATATTTCGATTTAAAAGCACATATTGTAAAAGGCAAGATACTAAAACAAAATATCAATTATATATTTTTTAACCTTGTTTCATATCATCCAACACCATATTATTGCACTATCAAAACTGAATATACTTCCTGTACGCAATGAAGTAACAAATGCTGTTATGAATACTGAATATCGATGTGTTTTACATATATTTCCATTAATGTTTCCAGTATGCAAACCATCTGTACAGCACAGTGAAGCAATTAATACAGGTGTTTCCGGAGCTGAGAAGTGCCCCATTGTATGTTGCCGGTGAATCGTACGCGGGCAAATATGTGCCTGCATTGGCAATGGAAATTCACAAACACAAAAACTCACCGGGAGGAGATATTAACCTTAAGGTGACATTTCTCTCAGCATTTTAATGTGTTCCATACTTTTATAACCAATAACTAAAGACCAACCGCTTTAATGAGACCTCGTCTATGAGGTAGAGTATTACACAAAAGATGAGAAACGCATACAACAACAATTGGTGTTTTATTTCTATAAGCAAAGAATTTATGACAAATCAAAATTGCTATATTTACCAATAAATCAACCGTTTATGTCCATATCAATGTCACTGACACTTGGTTGTTCACTTACAAAGGCGCCATCATCAGATTCCTCCTTCCTACTATTAATAAAATCTATAACATCATCTAGATCGCTATCGTATTTGCAGTATACGTTCTCAATTTTATTTGATAGGTTAACACAATGGATTTTGGTCTTTTCTGTGGAATATTCTGAAAATAATCACTCTAAAATATTTTGTTATCCAAATTAGATCTGATATATTTTGGTGCTAATTAATATCACTGTATATCTCAATTGCGTTCGTGTCTGAGTGGCAGGGAGGCAAAAGCAGCACTTTATGTTTGCTTATAATAATAATAATCTTTATTTGCGCCAATATGGTAACATGATAGTTTTACAATTTTAGACCGTCATATTTTACCGTCAAGACGATAAAAAATCCATACATTCTAGTAACAATTTGAATATAACTGGATCATTTAAATAATATTTATTAGGGTTATATCTTATTTCTTTTTCCATAGGGAATGATAATTGGTAACGCTTATGTAGAGCCAGGGATGATCTTGCAAATCACGCAGTCGTTCTACCACTTCGGCTTACTGGTACAAGAACAACTTGATATTGTGCAGCCACTTTTGGATAAGTTCAAGAGCGATGTCGCAGCTAACAGAAGTGTTAAAGCCAAAGAAGTTAGTATATCGATCACTATATCCAGAATGAACAGATTATACAGAAAACTAGGTTCTTAGACATTATTTTGTAAAAGCTTCAACTAACATTATGTTCAACTAAAAATTCCATTACAGAGATGGAATGCCATAGTCGCCTTGTTACTATTTTTATCAAACCAGAAGCAAGCATACAATTTCCTTCGAGATGAAATGACAGCCGGGAAGTATGAATGGTACCTGAGGAAACCGGAGGTGAAGAAGGCTCTTCATATCGGTAACATCAGACACTCCTTCGTCAACATCACTGTCAACAAGAAGCTTGCACCAGACTTTCTGAGCAATACTCGGCCGCTATTCGAATCTCTACTAAACGAGTATCAAGTGTTGACCTATTGGTAAGTGGTCACGCTTATTGAATTACATTCAAAATAACTGGATAAGCTTTAAGCAGATATCGGTCTTATCTGATTTTTAATATTGGTAGCTTTTTTGTGCACCATATCACTTGCCTTTCAGATCCACATTAGAAATACATCTATTAATCTCGTTCCATCCTACATACTCTATACAATTGTTCTACTAAAAAACCCTTATTAAAAAAAACCGATAAATTTCAAAATGAGATGCCTAGTGGAAATTTGAATTGACTCAGTAGGTCCAATCAAATTGCTACTGAAGATAGATATTCTAACACTAATCTAGTATTATATGTCCTCACCAGTGGTCAGCTGGACCAAATGCTGCCGTGCGCTACGACATCAGATCACTACCGAAGATGGAAGTGGGACAATTCGAATGAATTCCTCAACGCGACCCGCTATCCGCTGATATTCAAAAACAAACTAGTAGGGTAAGCAAACATTTAAATAAACTTGCAAAAAACATCTTACATTCGTATCTATAGTTGAGATAAGTAATCGCTCGAAAAATTTCATAACTTTAATCAAATATTTTATCCAATAGACGAGAATTTAAATGAAGTAAGAACTATCAATAGCTATTAATAATGGTATTCTAAATTTTAAAGCTCTCACTTCATTTAAATTCATGTTTATTTGTCAAAAATATACGAGTGTAAGACCGGAATCATAGGCGACATCTTACTAATTTGTTTTCTTAGTTGTATCTAATTTACATATAATATCTGGAAACACTTTACTAAAATTTACTTACATTAGATATTTCCTCGCAAGCCTCAGAATCCGTTACTACTCCATACCTTATACTTCAAGGACCACATACCACTCGAACGATAAACGGCCTATTTAAGGACGTATTGGGTACCGAGAAATCCTGTTCCTCCCATACTATCGCAGATGCGGAGACCCCGAACCCGCCAGATACTTACCAACTGGCACCCATTGACGCAAACTTGAGGCCGCTGCACCCGTAAAAATTTGAACCCAAATTCGAAATCGCTCATGTGCACGAATACGCGTCATTTAGAGTAGAAAATAAATTGATTTAATTTTTGTATAAATATACAAATCATGATTGATCGATTTATACGTGTCTCAGATATTCTATTCCTATGTCACTTCGAAATCACTTGACTTATGTCACGAAACGTTATTACCGAATTCAGGTTGAGCGAATGCCACTTTTGAAGTGAATGAATTCGAATTCATGTTCGGATTCTTACAGAATCACAAGGCAGGTCATCAATACTGTTAGAATTACAAATAAACAAAATATTACTTTTGAATTACGAATCTGTCATTTTTATATGATTGTTTGTTATCTTTTTTTTTATAAAATATTTTGTGATATTAAAATGGAGTGGGGTGCATTATTTAAAGTAGCTATGAAGCCTACACAATTTTCAAAACTCTCCATACGATTGGTATTTGTCAAATATATTATTTGTGTTAGGGCTATTTATAGGTACAATTAAACCTCCTGTCTTTGTGACAGACGATCAAAACAGAAAGTTAAAGAATTCGAAGATAACCAGTCCAAAAGCAAAAGATTTTATCTCGGGAGAGATTTTCATGATAACACCTAGAATTATGTCGCGTACCTATTTTAAAAGATGACTTAGAACTTGCAGCATATAACTGGTCACTTCTTAACGGATTATTTAAAAAAATAGAGTGATAAAAACAAAACAATTACTTAAGCGGTTCGCTAAGGGAGGTCTCAAAAAAATTGTGTTTAGGGATGAGAAAATTTTTACACTTGAGCAATATTTAACAAACAAAACGAATAATTATGTATTTATGCTCTATTTATGCTCATTATGCTCATTATGCTCAAAGCTCTTAAGAAACTTCATATGTTATACTCAACAGAGTATAACGTTAGCATTATCCGACTTCAGTGATGTTTTGGTGGGGTGTTAGCTATGAAGGAATGATCGAGCCATATTTTTATAAAAAAGGCATCATAACATCGGCACAATGTATCAAGATACCATTCTCGAAAAGGCAGTTAAGACCCTTAACAACACCATGTTCAATAAACAAGGACGGTCCTTCCAGCAGGACTCGGGGCCAGGTCATAAAGCTCGATCCACCTAATCTTGGTTAGAAACGAACGTTCCGGACTTCATCAGAGCTCAAGACTGGCCGTCGTCTCAGTGCTGGATTAGCTACGTAGTAAATGCTGCGGGCCCCGCGCTTTAGGGGCCCAGCGCAATTCATATTTATGGCGATATAAATTGTCAAAGAAATTCTTTTTGTAGTTGAAAAATCTTAAAAAAAGAAATAGAACCGACTTCAAACTTTACAGAAGCGATAAATAATACTCATCTCAAAAGCGACTTATTCAAGAAAATGCTATTGAAGTCGAGCGGAGAACTGTAGGTTTATTAATTAGATGATAGGCGCCTGACTTCACTAGCGTATTCTTGTATAAGTCGCTTTTGACATAAGTATTATTTATCACTTTTTTAAATTTGTAATCAGTTCTAATTTTCTATAAAAAATATTTCTTTGACAAAGAAAAGAGTGCGTACGTCTATTGATAACTGGCCTCAATGTTTATAGGATTGTATTACAGCCAATGGACACCAATTTCAATTACCTATATATATTTTAATAGCTTTATATTACTGTAATAATCTAACACACTGTAATAGTAATAAATGTGAATGTTGGTTTTCTGTAACAATATTTTATTGATTCCATTTTTTGCATAAAAACACAAAACATGATTGATTGATTCATACGTGTCTCAAATATTCTATCCCTATGTCATTTCGAAACTCATTTTATGCCTCGAAACGTTAATACCAAGTCAAGGTTAAGCAGATGCTGCTTTCGAAATGAATTAGGACACCTAAGTGAAGTAGCACCACCATTCCCCTTTTCCCCGAAAACCTCTCACGATTGTTCTGTATCGTTTTCGTCTGTGCCTATTGATACAATTTTTCATTCGCAGCTACCACAAATCCGGTGGGCGGTTAACAGAAGTGATGATACGTGGTGCCGGACACATGGCGCCACAGGACGCTCCCGCCACTACACACGAGATGGTCACCCGTTGGACACGCGGCATACCTCTCAGCATACCACAAGTGCCCGACTTAGAATATGCACTAGAGTTCCTTAGAAACAGCACAGAGGACATGATGTTTATTTAAAATAATTTATTCTGAAGCGTATTTTTATTATTAGAGAATTGTATTTTCTGCCACCGAATAAAGTTCGGAGCCGTTCTATTGTAACTTTCGTGTGCTTTCGTTGTGAGTACTTACTTTTATATTTTAAGTAACACCACGAACATGAGTCAATTATTTTATTTATACTGTGAATTGTCATTCTTTGTAGGTATTTATTGTATATTATTTTAATATTTTAGAATCAGAATTTTATGTAAAATAAACTAAATAATTAGGTAGTGTATCATTGTTAGACTATTTACATAAACTTTATTTTTTATCATTTAAATATGATGGTGATAAATATAAGTAAACAATTTTTTTCCGTCACTTTTCTCAATATCGTAATTTTAATTTTTCCTGAACCTTAGATTGCAACCTCTAAAACTAACCCCATCATATGGTATATTATGTGGTTACATACCAAATCCCTTGTGAGGTGGGCAGATAAGACCACTCTATACATTGACCACATTCGGAGTCAGGCGGATAAAAGTACGGCTGCAAACCAGCCAAATTACAACTTAGTCAGACTTAATTTTTTCAAAACTAATAAATTCTAAAATCAAAATCTCCATTAAAATATCAAATACCCGAACTACGACTAACATCAAACGAAGTTATCTGATTACGCCTACTAGTAACTTTTCCAGTAGTTGTATAATTTGTCTGGAAAAATCCTATGGATGAAATAACAGATTACCGGGCGTTCGCGTGACGTTGTTCATTTCGTTCGCAGGAGGAGCGCCAGCGAGTAGGTACCTTATGCACAAAAAAGATAAATAAAACCCTCATTTGGGAAGTTTCATGATGATTACGGTTCATTAGTTTTTCTTTCGTGACTGTTACCGAATGAAGGTTTATAGTTCGTGTACTTATATATGCGACTAGTACTTTCAAAATAATTCAAATAGACTTATAAAATACCAATTGCTCAACATTATTATTTTATATTTGAATGCGATTGATAATATGAATTGAACCTAAGTGCATTTGTTATCTTTTTAAATAACAATCATGGCGGAGGAGTAAAGGTGCGACCACATCTTTGGTATACGGTGCCCCGCTCTATTAAAACGTGCCTGAAACGAATAATGAAAAAAAAACAGAAATAGAATAACGATGATTCATCAACTGCCGAAAACTTTCGCAGTGAGCCGGCACGACGACGCACCGCGCCACGACACGTCACGTGCCGTCGCGTTTCACAAGCACAACCGATGCAACGGTCGTGTTATGCCGTATCCTGAAAACGCTAATTTACACTGGTTGATGAAATACGCGTGTGATTTGCGGCCGATTTTTGTTTCTTGCTTTCATTGGTATCATTGTTTTGTTGACCAATTGGATGAATCATGAAGCTCTGCCAAATACAAAGAAATAAGATAAAAAATAAAAATTATGCTCCTTCAATAAATAAATATTTAGCAACATCACATACATTGCTCAGATTCCAAGACGAGTAGCTAAAGCCCCCGTATTATGGAGTATCTGAGACAACGAAGGTACCACAACACCCAGACCCCAGTCAATATAGAAAATTTCATTTTCTACATTGACCCGACCGGGAATCGAACCCGGGACCTCAGAGATGGCGACACCTTGAAACCGGCGTGCGAACCACTCGGCTACGGATGCATTTCTTAACATTTGTAAAACAAACTTTATTTCGCAGGCATCTATAATTTATCAGTAATGGGTCATTTTACTACAAAATTACGTGGAATTAGCCGGTGATAATACGCTACGCAGCCCCTGTGGAGATTGGTAGATGTAAAGAAATATATAAAGTCAATATTTTTACGAGTTACTGATTGGTTTATCTTTATATCTTTTTTTACCTAACAAAGCAACTTTACCCAAAATTCAAAAGTTGATTTGTTACTAATTACGTTTTGATTTAGCTTCTCCTCTGTTATAAGTATTTTTTCAGTATTATTTAATTAATTATAACTAGCTTCTGTGCCTACACATATACAGAGGAGGAAATTCAAAGTATAATAAAGTAGGAATTGTAATTAATTTTATAAAAGCTTTTTTATTATTTATAACAGCTTGTCTTTTATGTTTCTATTCATATGAATTTGAATATTAACTTGACTTAGCACTTAGTTAAATTGTTTGTGAGTATTTTTTTTTAAATTAGTTAGTCGTTAAGTATCCCCACAGTCGGATCGTGTCGTGTAATTGTTGTTTTCATTAGGTAAGTCGAAACTCCGATCAACAGTTACTTCAGTTGGAAAAAGCTAGCCGTCCACGGCGCATTTACTAAGTTAGTGAATACTAAAAGAAAATCGTAATGAATTCTTAAAAATAAATTATAATTAAAAGTAGATTCATATTATAAATATAATTTGTAGGCTCAAGTTTATTTGCAATTTATATCAAATTTTAATTCAATTGTGCCAATTTTGTCATTTGCAATATCTGAAATATAATTATGTTCCTATGTGGACTTTTAGAAGTTAATTAGATATTTTTAAAACGCAGTTAATTGAATAAATCTAAATTTAGTCTAGTTTGTGTAATAGAATTATTATCTAAGTTTTTCCTAACATTTGACTGAAAAATTGTGTTCTAAATCTACCTACTTCTCTTGGGATAATAGCAAAGCTGGGTATGTATTTTATATTAGTTTTTGTCTGGTCATATTTATACAATTGACTAGACTTAGCCCCGTCGAAAGTAAATATCATAATTAATTGAAAATTGGTTATACATTTACATATATTTTTGCACTATTTCGTCACATGTACACTCCCGTCTCCATTATAATAACTATTCTTTTCTCCATCCAAAGGTTGTCTAGAAGAATCGCTTTAAGCGATAAGGCCGCCAATTATTTGCATATTAATTAAGTTTAATTTATGTTTGTTTCTGTAAATAGTGTATTGTTAACAATAAAGAATCTATCTATCTATTTATATTTAGAAATAAGTTTAACAAGACTTACACCCGATTGACATTAGATAAAAGTGAGTGACACTACAGTTGGTTCATTATAATAGACCACATTTGACATCTCTCGATCTCAAATTCAAAGTAACCTTGTAATGTAGTAAACATTATATTATGATTTTTTTCAAAGTTAAGGCAATGGTTTGATTGTAACTAAAATATATTGTAAAACTAAAGCAATTTATACCATTATTATCTATACATTGCTGCCAATAGGAAGGTCATTTATGCATTTGCGATAGAACTCTGAGGATCTAGACTGCACAAACTGTGTAAAAGCATTTTGTACTGCCTCCTGGCAAGAAAACTTCTTGTCACGTAGATCATTTTCCAAATCACGAAAACATGTTGGAGCAAGGTCTGGCGAATACGGAGGACGACGCATGGTTTCTAACTGCAGTTCCTGAAGGGTCAAAACGGTTTCTCGTTCTGTATGAGGTCTCACGTTGCCATGGAGCAATAATGGTGAAGATCGATTCATGATTCAGGGCTGTTTTACTGCTAGTTTTGCCAACATTGTTCGAAGTTCGGCACAATAGACATCTGCCGTGATTGCTTGACCAGCTCGGAGAAAACTATGGTGAATAACACTATGCTGAGACCACCAAACAGTTACCATTACCTTTTAATTGCTAAGTTTTGCTTTAGGACACTGTTGTGGCATTTGACCTGGGGTTAGCCATTGCATTTTTCTTTTACGGTTATCATAAAGAATCCACTTTTCATCACATGTCACAATTCGATCCAATATTCCTTCTTTTCTGTACCGATTCAACAAGGCAACACAAGTTTCAATACGCGTTTCTTTCTGCAGATCAGTCAAATCTTTATTTTTATTTTATCGATTTGACGCAATTGACTCAATATTGTGAGTAAGGTACCGCTAAACCATGTCGCTAAGTCCTGGGTAGTTTGACTAGGATCGACTTCCACCATCTCTCTGAATTCATCGTTTTTTACCTGTGTGGGCGTTCTTCCTCGTGGCTCATTCTTCAAGTCAAAGTTTCCATCACGAAAGTGTTTAAACCAAAATCTCTCCAAACGCAACATTGATATTGCGGGCTGTTTCTGCCGCGTTACTTCCGCGTCGAAACTCGTATTCAAAAATCACTCGAATTTTCGCAGTATCCATCTTTCTTGTATTAGTTGAATAACAAAAACAATTGAAAGTCGATATTCAAATGTTTCACATTTTTAAAAGAAGAACATCATAGAAACCATGTGAAAAAAAGTTTCTTTCGAAAACCTTAAACCATGAAGATTCTATGTCAATTCAAAGAACCTATTACTATAAAATGGCAATTTCATACTTTGATGAATAAACCTGTACTTGCTTCGGCAGTACATATACTAAAATTGGAACGAATAAACCTTTTTGAATGTATATAAATCTATTCCATACTAAACAAACTAAACGCCGCTACAATGTTATGTCTGTGGATCTACTAGGAAGTCGATTTGATAATTTCCTATTAAAAAAATTTAACAAATAACCACATTGGGATTCTAATCACTTAAATATTGATTAAATAGGGAACATTAAATTATAAACAATTTCATTCTACAAAACGTTTTGAACTCAAAGAATATATGACTATAAATATTTTTAAAATATGATAATATTGACAAAGAAAGAAATGCAGCCGGGTTTTATTTCTAACCAGTTACAATTGACTCGGTGCTCAAATTAGAGTAGAAGTAAAAATTATAAAATAATAAAAATATTTGAAAGGATTTTGTCGCATCCAAAACGTGAATTTACAAAATTATCTCTTTAGAAGTTAACTCCATTTCTTATGGAAAATTTATAATCAGGTAAATTACTTTGTAGCCGATAGAATCATGGAGCAGTTAACAATGGTCGTAATATGAAGTTTGCGAGTAATTCATTGAACAAACGCAATATCAAGTTTCTGCAGTGCAGAGCGATTCTGTAAAAATCCGAACCCGAATTTGAATTCACTCATGTGTCCGAGTTCACGCCATTTAGTGTAGAAATTCTATTGATTCCATTTTGTATAAAAACATAAAACCAAAATTGATTGAATATACGTGTATCAGATATTCTATTCTTATGGCATTTCGAAACTGACTTCACTAATGCCACAAGACGTTATTACCAATTCAAGTTAGCGGATGACGCTTTTTTAAGTGAATTCGGGTTAGGATTTTTACAGAATCGCAGAGCTGGTACGCAAAAAAATAATCTCGAAGACGACGTCGGGAGCGACGCTGTCAAACAAATAAAACCTGCATATTTCAAAAGTTATTTAAAGGTGTTATTTACATTGAAGGTCTAGAAGGTTTAGAAGGTAAAATAACTGTTACTAAATTGGTGTAATTTAATACACCAATTTCATAAAGCAAACAAAGAAAATCT